AGTCTTTGCACCCTTGGGTCTGTGGCATCAAAACAAAACAACAGAGACCAGCTCAAGGAGGTGGTAATTTCTGAATATGGCTTCACAATGCCCAGCAGGCCAGCTGCTGGGTCAGTGGTGTCATAGTGAGAGACAGATGTCCTTCCTGTTGGATGTGGGGTATTTATAGCTGAGTCGGGGGGTCCAGTCTATTCCAGAGGTCCTTTCCGTACAACCTCCTCACGTCCCCATCAGTGGCTGCAGAAGTATGCAACATACTTCTCCGTCAGAGGTGTGGCCTGGCTGTGGGGCCTGGTCACAGACACCTATGTCTCCTAGGGAATCTCCAGGGACTTCCTGCAGGTAGAGGTTTGGATGGGAGCAGGTCTAAAGGACTCACTGTGATCTGCTTCCCCTCAGTGCACAAGACACCCAGGTCAGTTGCTGGGTATCTGAGGGATGTCTTGACTTGGATCAGAACCTTCCTGCCTCAATGCTGCCAACCAGCAGGATCCCTTTTGGAACTCCTTTGGGAATCACCTCCAGAATTCTTGAACAGGTTCATTCTGGGCTTAAACACCTTGAACACCTTTATTCTCCTTGAATCCCCCTCCCCCTTTATCTCAGATCTGCCCTCTGTGGCCCTGTAGAATAGATTTAATCATTCTTCAGCAGGAGCCCCTTTAAATATTTGAGCAAAGCTATAGTGTCACTACTCTTTCCTCTAAGTTCTTATTTGAATTATTACCTTTGCAATCTCATTCTCTATTCTGGATTGTCTCTGGACCATACACCTGAAAACAACAACAACAAACAAACCACTGAGTTCTCAGAGATTGTCATCAGGAATCAGTCTCACAGACTTGTGTAGGGATCAGGCAAGAGAGGAAATATGGCCTTTTCTCTCACTCATTGCGAGCCATATCATGTTTGATCTAACATGCAAGTATAGTGTCCTTTTTGTTTTAATGGTTTTGTTCTGTTTTAGTGGTTGTTGCTTATACTTTTGGGAAAATAGTTTAGTTAGGATTAGGTTTGGGTGTGAGTAATGGAGTCACCAAATAACAGTGGCATGAATGACATTTTATTTCTCTCTTTTACCTGAAAGTTTAGCGATGGAAGGTGGACTAGGGCTGTTGACTGCCCTCAATGTCCCCCACCCAAGGCTGCTTCTTTTTTGGGCTCTACCATGTTTGGCCTCCATCATACAAGTCACCTCAAGCCCCAAATGGCTTCTGAGGATCCAGCCATCATGTCTGCATTCTAGCCAGCAGGAAAGTGGAAGAGGTGAAGGGGGGGCACCAGGTGTCCTTTGAGGAAGGTTCCTGGAGCTGCCTGATGTTTCTGCTGACATCCTCTCAGCCAGAATTCAATCACAAGGCCTCACTTGGCTCCAACAAGGCTGAGAAATGTAGTCTTGATTCTAGAAGGCTTTGCATCCAAGTAAAAACTGAGGTTTCTGTCACCTGGCAAAGTCGGGAAGGGATAAGGGGAAACAATCTGTCACTACAACAGCATCTGAATTTAGCCATTTATTGCTAATATTCCCCTGTAACCTCCAGGAGAGGGAGGGTCTCTCTTAATGTCTCTGACAGAAAGTTCCAGAGCCTTAATCAAAGCTATTATAAAAGGGATAGAAAGAAACAGACAATCTGTCACTACAACAGCATCTGAATTTAGCCATTTATTGCTAATATTCCCCTGTAACCTCCAGGAGAGGGAGGGTCTCTCTTAACGTCTCTGACAGAAAGTTCCAGAGCCTTAATCAAAGCTATTATAAAAGGGATAGAAAGAAACAAAATAAAACTCTTAGACTGATGACTGTGTGTAGAGAAAAAAGGTATCCTTAAGTGGATTTTAGCTTTGAAATGGTGATCATTTTCTTGGGCCACAGTATGTGATTAAATTGCAAAGGAAAATAAAATGCTCATTTAAAGTATATTACTAAAATTAGATGCACACAGATTTTGGAAGAGTGTGGATACAAGAAAATTTAAAATACAAGGTGTGTGGCCATGTGAGCTTTTGTCAGAATGTGTGGGCTCTGCCGTGTCTTCAGCTGGAGGGGTGAAAAGATCACTCAGCCAATGGACAGCCAACCTGGTAGCCACTCCTGGCCCTGTCACCAGCAGTCAGCTAACTTTGCTGGGCCACAGTTTCTGAAAATCTTGATGACAGCATCAGTGGCCGTCAGGGTCTCTCCACGTCTGTATTCTGTGAGTCCTGAAATTCTGGAAGTCCAGTAGATTTCAGGTCAGCAACAGTGAGGGAACCCTTAGCACCTTAGTCCCTAGCAGGATGGAAGGCGTCATTGGGGCGAGAAAGCCACGTGTGCGACATCGGGGGTGAGGGTGGGGGTGGCG